CTTTTGCACTTAGGATCTGTTGTCGTTTTTAATGACGTTTTGTTAATTAGCGCTTGTGCAACGTTCCGGTTAAAATTACCAAGGGCAATGCGGAACTATGGATAATGGCAAGTTAATTAAAACTGCGGAATATCTATTTCTGCGTTCAAACTCTCTTAAACTTTGTACCAAAAACGAGGATTTTTAGAAGCCTATTTTATAGCAGCGCATAGTATCTTTCTACTACAGCGTTTGTTTCACCGTCGTGTTTTTTTTTAAAGAGGGAAATGGGAATTTTATTTGCCACAGCACGAACAAATAACATGTTCTTGTTCTCGTCCATTAATATATGCCGTCCGCAGCTGTGTTGTGCTTTTGACTAATTTGCATGCAAACGAATATCACGGACGAGTTGTTAATTAATAGGGGTTTTAAGTGCCATGTGTAGAGGGTCCAGTCGACATGTCATCAGGCCAGTTTGCGAATGAAGTGTCTAAAAACGTCTTGTAATAGCCAATGAATAAGAATAAGCCAGCTTGGATCGTTGGCGCCATTTTGATATCATCACCTTTGTGCGTGCATTGTGCCTCAACGTACTCTGAAGTGACTCTTAAAACGCTCCCCTCGCCCGAGCTACAAGTTCAATAGAAAAGAAACGAATTTCGACGCGAAGAGATATGGACGAAGTGCAGAAGCTCTCCGAAGGTAGGTACAAAACCTGATCTGGAAAAAAGCTAAACTAATCAAATCCTTGGAACAGAATTGATATCGTCAGGACTGCTACGCCGGATCCAACCTCCGTAGCTAAATATTTACACAATTTGACAGAGCCGTTTATCGTTTTATTTCTTTTATTTCACTCTCGTTTGTTGAATCGATTTGTTACAAAGAAACAAAACGCGAAATACGGCTGCCCTACAAGTATCATCTAGTTTCGTAATAATGACTTTCTTAGCCTACATAGTATTAAAATCCTATTAAAAAGCCATCGAACCGAGGAAGACTCCTTAAAATGCGCTGAATCTCAAAACCGCGGGAATTTCTGCTGGATTTTTACACGATGACTGGTGTTTTCACAAGATATTCATCTTCAGCTGTCGAAACAACTTTGAAAAATAGTTTAGACTTTGGGATGGAATTTTGGAAAAAAAAAGTAAGACAAAAAATGTAATATGCTGCTTTATTAGCCTCGTATAGCAAAATAGGTACTCTCGAAAATCAATCAACAAGATCGAAGACTCGAGAACAGTCCGTGTTGTTACTAGCAACGCGATAAGAATTTCCGCACCGGTGTAGGCACACAGAGTTCACCACCAAAGAAATTGCCACTCTTGATATAAGTATTGCGGTGACGATTGTAGTGAAAAGCCTTCACATTTACCATGCCAACACCACGGCTGAACACCATAACGAAACCATAACTATATCGCCTTGTGCGCTCGCCAAGCCATTAACTCAAGATCCATTAAGGCGGTTGAATGTCGAGCTAATTGGAAAAACTTCAGCCTAAGGGGCACCACATTTATTTTCTTTGACGTATGAAGCAGTCATAATGGGCCTTTTAACAACCGGAGAGTAGACACTTCTAAGAAAATTGCTCTGGGAGATCTTTAAGGGCTCTTGTCTCACTTTCTGACGTGTAAGTGTGATGCGTATCTCGTCGTCACGTTCTCTCATTGGTTCGAGAACAAAAGAAACGTTAACACAACAAGCTTCATTAATGTGGTCCTGCCAAAGATACTCGCCTCAGAGTGTTGTTATATTTTGAAAGCAAAAATTCCGCCTTTGAGGAGTCACTTCGTAATCTTGGAGATACAAAAAGCACACACAAAAAATAACAATTTAAATCGTGCAAAGTAACTTGGAAGAGTGCCTAGTGTACGTAAATGGAAAAGAATGGCCCAGGTGTTGAGAGATGGTTAAACAAGTCCGTGTTTATTTTAAAAGACCATGATCCTTTAAAACCCTAAAATACCTTTCTCCGACTAATTTTTTATCCTGAATTTTAAAAGAAAAATAAGCGGAAGCATAATTAAGCAGTTAAGCCAAAGCTAATGGATTTTCTTGGCGTATTTCACGAGCAGGTAATTTCTCACTGGCGCTCTAATTGCTTTGCCATTATTTCTTAAGCTATTTGCAGGTAAAAACTCCCAAGGATACAGTATGCGATTAAATTTCTCTAATGGCTAAAGAAACAATGAGAGTCCATTATACCCGAGCCACACCACAGCCTTCATACTCAGAACACCTATTAGCTAGTAATTACTCAAACTTCAAATTTGGACCAATCATAAGCCTTCAACGCACAATTGGTTTCCTCTGTGTTCTCGAGCAATAAAGACGGTATTTACACTTTCTAAAGACTTAATTATTTATGTAAATACTACTTCCAAAGGCTTGCACTTTGCGTTAGCAAGCCAAGGTTGTCTTGAAAGTTTGCCAGGGGCGAATTGTTTGGCAGCGAACTAGACTTGCAGCCAAATCGCCTCAAAATGTACTGTTAATGGCCGTTCGTGCACACAAACGCACATGTTCTAAGCGAGTCCCAGGATTACCATCACTGGTGATGTCTTAGGCACGTGCCACGGATTTCATTGTTTATACAAGAATTCAATTAAAATTTCGACGCAGTAGGAACTTCACGACACCCGTTGTGTTATTTGAAAACGAAAATTCGATCGATTCTGCTTCTTTCATAGCCTCCAAGACCCCTTGTGAAAGACGCTATGACCTGAGGTCGAGCTATAGATTTACGGCAATAGTAGCGAGAGGCTAAAAATCACTGGGACTATGAAGAAACACTGTGTCATCAGTTTACTAATGAACGGTCGACCATCGTCGTTTCATAAATTGAGGATTAAGATTATAGATAAACTTCCATTTCTTACTACCGGGTTGTACAAACCCACTCAGAGATGTAGAAAGGTTTTTAGTTCTAAGCCCACAGGAATTTTAAGATTATGGAGTTTTTTTGCCAATCGTGGACACCACTTAATGAAACCAAGCTATGTTAATTTGGAATGTTTTTGTTTTTACAGTTGTCAAAAGGGGCTCGGTTATGTCTTAATTTAGCGATGTCTTCTTTTATAGTCACGTCTTTTAATTAACAAAAGTGCTTAACTCTCAGAGATAATGGAGACCGGCCAAAAGGCAGTCAGTTGTATTAGCTAAGTGGCCCACACAAAATGGAAACTAGAGCGAAACTCTTTATTTTTGATGAGTAAAAAATATTGTCTCTCCTCGGTCACATTCATTTCATATGATAAATGGCACACAAGAACCCGTGGGAACGTGCCTGAGCTAATTGTATCGAAAATTAGAGAAGGAAGGAAGGAATAAATAAGATAACAGGTCAGGAACACGAACGATAAGCCTACGTTGGCTTGAAAGTCGAGACAAATTGACAGATAAATGACACCCGGCAAAACAGGTAGAACCAAAACGGAACTTTTAATAAACGTGGTTGGCCCAGCCATTTGAAATAAGTACTTATAAGAAAAAGGTTGATAATAAAGACGAGCTAACAACGTCTAGCTGTGTATACCAACGCGGCCCAAAATTTTAATAACTCGGATGGAACCCTGATGTTTTCGGCTTTCTATGAGTGATACATCTCCATTCTGTCCCCCACCGTGAGCGCGCTTTATTGCAATAAACCATCACAAGCCAATTTGCCATAATCTTATCGGCCACAAGAACATGTGGCAATAGCCTGGTGTGGGTTACGAGCTTGAAGAAATCGATCTTTTGTGCGTATATTTCAAGAGCAAGATTGTAGGGGTCTTTGCACGACAATCCTTAATCTAATTTCCTTTCAGTACGTTCAGGCGCATGCGTAAGACTCTTCTATTTAATTTACTACAAAAACGCAATAATGGGTTCTTCAGAGCGAGCAAACACTTCAATTGCTTTTATAATTAAGCAGCGCATCATATTAGTGGTAAATGAATAGCACCATGATTCCTTCGGGCTATATTGGTCAACGTCGCCACAATTCGCTGGAGTGTTTCGTATTTGCTTGTGATTGGCGGAGCCGAGGTTGTTTAATTTGCCTTTAGACAGATGTTCGGCAGGGTATTCCATGTCAGTTTGTTAATTGCATTCCGTTTACATGCAATTGTATTCGTAACAAATGACCCTTTCAAGTGATTCGGGACTTAAATAAATTGCTTTCCTGGAGAAGAATGGAAAAATGTATTTGAGTATTGCTTTTGCGACATCCGATCTAGGCTGCAAATATGTTGCGCGAATGACGCGTGGTAATATCTACTCTTATTTTTGACGGAATTCTATCAGCAGGGAGCGTAACAAACAAGAGAAAAATTCATTACTTTCTCGCCACGTTCCAAATAACAAGTGCTTCCCCACAAAAAAAAACCCACGAGAGCTATAATTACAACCAATCACGTGACTTAATTAAACTTCGAAAACTAGACCGTATCGTGTTGGTAATTACTGCAAGCGATACACGGGGTGTAGAAATGACTTAACTTCTGTCTTATTAAAGCCAGTGACCAATCAGGAGCGCTTGTACCGTGCTCGTAATGGCAACATCTCTCAGATGATGACAACTAATTGTGTCTTGGTCATTTAGGGTTTGAAGCTGATTTGATGTCGAATTGATTAGGCTTAATTCCCTGTCAGATGATGAATGTTTTGAATAACGTACACTGTTACCCGAGTTGTTTTAACAAACAACGACCCCTGGCTAATTCGGACTCAGTGTCACAAAGGCTAACAACGCAACCACACTAAGGGACAGCTCTGCCGAAATTTCCGTCGCCGAGTAAAATGAACAACACGAACCCAAACAACAGTGAGTTCAAATAGTCTATGCGCGCTTGAATGCGAACGCGTTCTGTGCTCCGACGACGCGCTACCAAGCATTCGAAAACGCATATTAAAATTGTTTCCTCGTGTAAAGTACGACCAGAGTGTAGGGAAGCGAGCGTGAAATACGGCGCTGGTCAAAATTTTTCTTCGTCGTGTCTTTAATATCGTGTTTATTTTCTTCGTTTCAGGTCGTTGCCTTCAGGGAGGAATAAGAAGTTGTGGGGGATGCGGCGAAAAAATTCTGGATCGATTTCTCTTGCTCGCCTTGGATCAATACTGGCATGTAAACTGCTTGAAATGTTCTTGCTGTAACGTGAGATTGGGAGAAGTAGGATCGTCTTGTTATGCCAAAGGCGGAATGATCTTGTGTAAAAACGACTACGTAAAGTAAGCGAATTGATTCTTTTATTCATTCTCGTTTCAAATGAATTTTGTAATGTTATTGCTTCAGCGACGTGGGTTAAGTTTGTTTAAGGGGTATTTTTTATTTTGTGTGTGACAACCTCATCATGTAATGATCTATTTTGTTCCTTAAAATTTGCCGTGATGAAGTTGTGTTTGAAACGACTGCTTTGAAGCCCAGCAATATTTGTGTCGTTGCTTTCTGCGTCGAAAGCCGCCGTCGATTTGTCTCAGGTTTTTCATGCGCTAGACACGTTCCCTCGTGTTTTGAAATTCTTTCTTAAGTGGCCTTTATCTTCTATTATATATTTTTTTTTACTCTCCATTATTTCGTCCCTGTGTCACCGGTGGGATTTTGCATACATTTTAGCCAATGTAATATTTCGTCCATTATGAAAGTGCAATTAATAACGTAGATTATAAAGGCCAGAGAGAATACCCGGTATTAGTAGCTCCAGCTAACCTCAAAACTCATTAGCGTGGTAATATTTCACCTACGAAAGGCGATTTATTGCGTTTGTTTCCCTAATTCGCCGTGCCGTGGCAAATTTGCTGAGACCCTCCGAAATGGGCGCACAAAAGGCAGCCTATTTCATTTGACGTGTATTTTTCATTTTAATAAACAAGATTTTTAATATACCATGCGCGGAAAGTTAACATGTCTACTGTATTAAAGGCGACAAACTGAATGGCCCCGTGAAGAACAATTTATCGCTATTCCAAATATTGGCTTTATACGCTTTTATCTCTAATTACTTAGAACATATTAAATCCTGAGTTATCAGATCCGCGCTGCGATCTCATTTGGCATTTGCCCTTATTGCTTTTCAGGTTGTATGGCTCAAGCGGAGCATGCGCCGTATGCGCTAAGTTGATTCCCGCCACTGAGTTTGTAATGAAAGTTTTGGGAAAAGTTTATCACATCGACTGTTTCAATTGCACGACTTGTCACAACCCACTAGTGGCCGGTGACCGGTTTCACGTTGTCAACGGGAGGCTGTTCTGTGAGAGTGACGACCCGAGACTACTAAAACAACAACTCCATGCACCAAAACAAACGGTGAGGTAACCTCTTTGAGCCCCTAAACGTCTGTCAAAACAAGACTTCAATAAATTTCATTCCTTGGATAACACTTATTTGGCTTTAATATCTGCGACCTTTTTTGCCTAAGCTAATATTAAGTCATCAATTTTTGACATTTCATTTGGCTATTTTCGTGAAAGGAAACACGTTTTTAATTTTCCACTGTATTGTCGTATTGCTTTTTGCCGTGCTAATCAGCCCCGAGTACACGGATATTCGAGCAATATAAACATCACGTCGACCGCACTTGTGCGTGGAGATTTATTTTCTTCTCTGCTCATAAATCGAGTTCCTTACTCGACTGGGAAAAGGATAATGAGAAGAAAATTTTTGAGGAGCAATTTGCATCCGTGAATACAGCGCTCAGATTATGATCTCTGTTTCACCCTGAGGCCGAGCGATAAGACAAAGGAGGACACTTTTTAATACGAATTAATTAAGACTTTAAATTGGTTCTGCTGCCTTGCCGATAAGATATGGCAAAACATTCGTCAAAAAGCGTTGATTAATACAACTGTTAAAACATCGCGAACAATGGCCGGAATTGCGCGAAGAAAACTCCATCGATTTCATTTCACTTCTAAATGGGCTTAAGTAATTCTATGCCCCTGCTCTCAGAAAACCTTCCTTGCACTTTATGGCCACAGGAAATAATTAATGGACATTTTAAGATCCTTTTCGCTGGCTGCTTTTAACCGAAATTGGACTCCAACTCGCGTCATAAATAATTGTAAGAAAACTGATCACTCATGATTTTTCACAGTTCAATCGACTGTCAACCAAAACTTGACGTTTCGACGTTAAAAGCTTTGTTTTCCACATGGTAGTGTGACTGGTACAACTGAGAAGGGAATTTTTTTTTCTCAGTCCTTTTGATGAAAAGAGAATCTCAATTTACTAAATCTTCGTTATGAAGCTTCATTTTGGCTTGATTGCATGTCGACAAAAGCGGCTTACAAAGTGTGTGAACAGTGTTTTTATTCCTAATTGCAAAAAGCAGAATTAATGATTCGAAACGGAACCATAGAGAGGAAAACAGTCAATGAAGCTGATTAAAAAACTAAAATATACTATAGTGTAATTGAGTAAAATAAAAGTGAAAGAAGTAAATTATCCGAGCTTATAAGAACGCCGGCCTGTTAGATGAAGTTTTTATCCTTACGCCCGGCGCTTATCTGTTATTATGAAATGATGAAACCACAAACTGAAAATTGAGTTCCTTATTTATGAAAAACTTCTTTCTTCTAAGATAACGCACCTTTTGGCTTCCAACACAAAATTAAATTAAAATTTTCTTTGTAAAATGAGCAAAGTATAATGATTTCCTGTTTATTACGCGGACCTCTTTGTAAAAAATGTTTTAATTTAAAAATTTGTTGAATTAGTCGAATTTGGCTTTTGCGGTTCTGTATAGAGGAAAAGGAAAAGTTTTAAAATTGATTCTTGAGCTGGGGTCAATTATCTTTCTTCGTTACGCTTATAGCCCTACCAAAAAAAAAATGACTCATTTCTCATTAAAATACTAGTTTAAATTCGCCATTCTGGCGAATATGTCGTCTAAAAGTATCAAAATACAGAAAACAATTTTGTTACGCTCATATTTATATGGTCATGGGCTCAAACAAGGAGTTTGGAGGAAGCTACTCAATCAATAATCTTTGGATGGAAAGCATGACAACTTGTCCACCAAAATTTCCGCCAAATCGTAACCTTCTATGAATGATGGCCATTAAATTCGATCAGGAAATCTGAAACATTGGCGTAATGAATTCTTCTAGATTTCTCTTTTTTCTATTTTTAACTCGCTTTTTAATTGTAATAGTTGCTCTAAGCGATTTAATGGCTAGTGTTGATTGATGTAGTCGTAATTTCCTTACATTTATTTTTTATACTATTCTTTCTCAGGTATGTTAATGGATAGCAAGGGATTCGCATGTGATTAGCTTCAAAAGATGACAAAATTAGAAGGTTTTTGTCTGGGCCTGGAAGAGCGAAAGACGAATCTTGTTCCCGTGATAACTTTGAAGCCTCTAATGGAAAATTGAAAGTTCCCCAAGGCAGACACCCCAAAAGGGACATTTGAACACTACGATATCAATGAATGCTCCACGGTGGCTAATTAGTGTAGTTTATTTAGCTTTGGATGTCGAAATGGAAGTAGCAAAGCCATTGCTGATCGAAAGGATTATTTCGTCTAAGTGGCCTTGGAAAAACATGTGTTAAATTTTAAAAGAATGAAAATTCATTTGAAAATGTTTTAGTTTAGCACGGAATCATGCAGCTTTGCAAATATAAACTGAAAGTAGGTTTGCAACACATCAGTTACGGAGACAAGGGTACGAACGAGACGAGGGGAAAATGACAAAATTTGAAATCGTTCTTGAGAATTTATATTTGAAAAGAAAAGAGGAATCATTGCTAGATATTCTGATTTCTAATTTAAACAAATTTAGTATTGTACGTAGAATATATTAGTACTACTTGAACGAGAAAAATAATAAACATTGTGAAAATGCATGGCCACTACAAGTGTAGATAAATGGTAAAATGTGTAAAGTTCTTTAAATAAAAGTGTAACTCTAAAACCACATTCGCTATGTTTTATTTATATATGGACAAAAAGCTATGTTTTTGGATTACTAGAGGCTGCGTTTAATGGTGCAAAACAATTTGCCTCAGTTTTGGCTAAAGTAATATAAAATAAAGCTCCTTCGATTAATCCAGGACGTGAATACACAAATTAAAAATGTACAAAGTGTCGAGCTAGCATGGTAAAAACAAATAAAATCAACTCAATACATCAGGCAGAATTCTTCTTTGATGGATGTAGCCGCTTGAAAGTTTAATTAATTTTGCCCAGGGACAAATGGCACACAAAAAGGAGTGTTGGTCTTGTTTTGTGTGGTCATTAACGCCGTGCTAATTAACTTTTGTAGTCGTGTTGACATAATGTAAAGCAGCATGCATTCTGGCTAATAATGTGTAATATCCCTCCCTGGTTGTGTCAATAAATATTCGTATCAACACCCCAAAGCCTAATTAGATTTCACTTCACAATCTGTGGTTTTTTAGCAACTTTTAATGAAACGGAGCGAAGATCTTGACTAAAAGCTAACCAAAATATCTTGAAACATTCTGAACAAAGGTGGTCAAAGCTTGTCTTGGTCAGCGAGAACTAAAGGCGACAGCACTTCTAGAACGTGCCTGAGAATGTATCCGCTCGATAGTTTCATAACTTCCATATGTAACAGTGGGGCTTCGCAGGATGAAACAACCAATAAAGACTTTCATAAAGTCGGCAAAGAGAACAAAGGAGTGTCTTAAGGATATTATGTATCGTAAGAAGTTCACAGGCAGCTGAGCTCACACAGCCGCAAATCTTTTCTCAGTTCTAATCTTTGATAACCTTTCCTCTGAACCCTGCTAACAATGGATTCATTAGGAACACTATGACTGCACAATAAATACTCTTAGCCAAAGTATAAAAAGCTGTCAGCTTCCATTCACACTTTATGCTGAAAAGACTCGACAATTTTCTCTTTCATAAGCTCCAAAAGACACACACCCTGGTTAATGCACTCATCCACTTCATTTTGCCATGGGAACTAACCCTTTTAAGTAATACTGAAAGTGAATGCCTCTCGGGCTTCCATTATCACTGTTATCAAGTATCGACTCTCTTTTCTTCAAAGTCTCATCCTCTTTACAGACTTAATTGGTCAAAAGAGCAATTTTCAAATCATGCACAATATCAGGTTTGAAACCGTTCTATCACATTTGTGTCAAAGGTTACAGTGTATCTACAATTTGAAACACTAAAAAGAGCCAAAGGAAGCTAAAATCATTTTTAAGCCCTTAACACAGTCACGCTCAAGCTACATTGACGAAAATGTTCTTCGAGTAGCAGCGGTGGGTTTTAAGCCACTCTATATATCTTTACATGGTCCATCTCAAAGGTCACTCAAACTTGTCACCCAATTACGTAAGTAACAATGATTTAAGGCAACTCCTAATAAAAGGAACAGACCGTTCTACAAGCATCACGTCAGGTTTTACCGTAATGTAACATAGCTCTCGACATAGAAAGATTCTGAACAGATTTGCTCAAAAACGGCTTCCGCTTGCAAAGCCTCGCCACGTTGGGAACGTGACCCAAACCTGTGTTGTCCAATGTAACAAAATATGAAGGCAAATTTTATCGAAAGAAACAGTCAGTCCGTTCAACGAGTATTAAGAACGTTTTTACCGTCATACCTCCCGATTCTTGACCTAAAAGAGTTTAAAAAGACCAGGTCAAAGATGGCTTCCGCTTGTTTAGGCATACCACGATGGGTACGTGAGCCAAACGCGCTTTTAATCCTATGTTTAATGTGTGTAAGTGCCAGACCACCGGCAGGGTGCCACCTCTATCATTCCCTACACTTCGAATTTCCATGGATTTTCTCCTCACGGATTAGAGCATAAGTTTTTGGACTTGATGGAACTCCCGGGAGCACTCGTTTACGAGATTCATTAACTACTGTTATCTAAAAAAGCCATAGGTTTATTAAAAATTGCTGTGACTTAAACTGATGGAACTGATAACTCACCCATAGTCGTCCAAAACATTTCTTGAGTGAGATTTACTTTCCAGAAGTATTGACATTTCTACGGCAGACCAGAGGTAAAATTGGTCGACACAATAATTTATCTTTAGGTTGTTTGTCACTTACTGATCGAAAACTCATAATTACTGTTTGCTGAAGTAGAGGGGAAAAAAACGCGAAATAGAAACGAGAACAATTTAAAATGAACTCGGATTGTAAACCACAAGCTTAAAAATAGTTTAGCGAAGTGTTTCAAAATAGACCAACCGTGTAGATGCTCTTGTAACACTTAAAACTGGTCACGATGCCTTTATCCCTTTATTTTTTTAATTCAGCACAGGACAGTCATGTGCCTTCTTATCGCGATTTTTATATCGAAATAATCATTCGTGCAATGGATACCTTTGGCACGTAACTATTAAAACCGGAGTTTTTATCATAATGACTCTTGAACAGCTCTTCAACTGTTGAATTCTATCTGATTTCTAACAGGTTGTGAGCGTAAAGTAAAGTCGAGAAATTTCCTTCATAGTCTCCAAGATATGGTTACGGTTAACTTCTAATTTTTGACCTTGTTGAAAGAGCTACGTGCCATTCAACTACAAGCTGTTGAGTCGTATTAAAATGCCTTCAAGGGAAGAGCTCTTTGAGTAATGGTGTAAAAGGTAGTTTTTTGCGCGTATGAGATCGTACCAACAATCGTTTATCAGAAGAGCTAGCCATTTTTAGAGCTATCGAGATGAAATATTTCTCAGTACGGTTGTGTTTCGTCGTAACCAGTGGTATTTCAATCAGTTCTTAAGTCTACCGCAGTCGCCTAACTTGAAAGGGCTAGATTGCCCCAACGGCAAAAACGTGTCTTGTTAACACTGCTCAAAGGATCCTATCTCTATCAAGAAAATGTAGACACACTAAAAAGCTTTCAGGCAAGCATTCTTTCAGATAGCAAAGTAGGAAATAGTTTCTCTTTTTAAACCTATCATTTTTCCACAAATACTGTAAATTGTATGACCTAACAACCTGATAGCTGATACCATGCGCAAATGTGACAAGCATCCATCACTGTTACAATCAGCTTTAATTGTCGAAAGAGTCGTGCGGAAATAATATAGAACCAAGCTCACGAATGAGTTCTCTGTTGCTTGATGGAGCACAGAGCATCGTACAGTAGAAATCCGAAGGTTTGTGTTCAAATTCTTATGGGGCCCTCTAATTATTTTTATTTATACGAAGAAATCTTTGAACAGCCAAACTCAAAAATTTGCCTTCTTTCTCAATTTATTGATTACAGTAATTAAACGAAATATAGATAAGGGTTCCATAACCGGTTGGTAGATACCGCCGTTGATTAATTAATTTATTGTTCCGGTGAGAGCCAATCGACAAAACAACCGAGGAAATCCTAATTACACTCGCGTGAAATTAATGCCTGCCCACAACTGTGACAAAATCTGATCTTTAGCCTTCTCAGGTAAAGCTCTCAATTGCGTAACTTCAAGAGATATGAACCACTCATTTGAGACACTCATTCATCCTTTGAAAGACTAACAATCCTCATCCTCATTGCATGGACGTTTGAGGTCCAATTTAGAGGCACGTACTGAAAATATCCTGCAACTCATCATAACTAATATTATTGGAGACATTACAGACGGAGATGATTCAAATTTAAAGCCGTTTACATAAATGAGGATATCAGTAGCAAGAAACCCCATACTATAAAAATGTCTCCATTTTTTTCCGGAAACGAAACTTACATTTTATCCGCTAAAACAACACATGGCGAAATGAAATTTTGAAGGATAATAGAATAAAAGACCCTTGTTTGGGTTCTGGTGTAAATTTTAGCGGTTTTAATTTTCAGCCGTCAATTTGCAGAAAAGTCTGTTATCAGTATAGTAGGCGGCGATAAGTTTTGCGCCAAGAACTCTCCGTCTATTTCGTCATTCAAATTTCCTTTTCAGTACTTTTTTAATTGATTAACATCCGAACATCCGGCCACTAGTGCTGAGGTGAATCTCCGTCTCTGCTAAGTTGCCATCTCGTCTAACCATCATGATTATTATCAAATCATGCAGATGCTCCTAAAAATCCCTCATGACCCCATCGAGAATAGGAAAAGAGTCTTAGGAAATGGAATAGGCAAGAATGAATTATTCACAGCATGATATTTTCATCTGGGAGACTTGAACATCACTCTGAGGACGTACCCTAATTAAAAGAAACTGTAATTGTTGAAAATAATCTTGTACTAATGTATCCATGAAGGAGTTTATTAAAGACAAGACATGGAAAACAATTAAAGAGTATATTCGGTTACAAATTCATAACGTTTTTACACTTTAAAATCCCTCCTGCGTCAAAGTTGAAATAGAGATAATCTTCATAAGGACTCTGCATCTTTGTTGGCATTCACTCGCCCGGACGGGCATGATAAACAAACACATTGTAACTTTTCTGCTAATGGACTTAGAAGATAAATCTGATTAGGTGATTAATCTTTGGCAAAGATTGCCTTAATCGTGACCGTGGCCACAAAATCGCACACGATATACATGGCTATAGACATCAGTAAACAAACATCTGGTTGAATTCAAAAGTTTGCAAAAACGCCATTTGGTCGCAATTGTACATGCTTCTTTTATATCGCCCGAAACATATATATCTGGCAGTAATCGCGAAAACCTGTCTACAGCACTCTCCTATTTCGATGAAATAGTCTTCGCGTATCTTCTATATGGTTTCGTTTTCTTTTTTAACGCTGAAATTTCCAAAGTTGATACTGGAAAGTGAAAAGAAAGCTGTTCTAAATGGTTTTTATCTTCCTCCACTTCTTTCCCCTCACCACCCACGTGTCAATCGACGAGTTGTTTTCGAGACTATGACTTTTTAGAGCATCAAATACCTTTTTTTGGAAAGATCGACAATGAGAAGAAAACAAAAAGATACAAAGTTACATGGTAGGTTCCATTACTTCCTCACAGAGGTCACTGGATGCTCATTATCGACTGAAAAATCACTCTATCTAATTCTTTTAAATTCTCTATGCTCTCAAAATAATTGAGAGGAATTTTCTTCCGTCTATTGACTATCTTCCAAACCTTTGTTGTGAAAAAAGTAACAGAAACGGTCTAAAAATTCATTTTAAATCAGTGGTCTTCAAATTTGTGCTTAGTTTTAATCTACTTGTATACATTTTTTGCCAAAAAAAACA